AATATTAGAACATATAAAACAATCTAAAATACTTCGTTTTAAACTTGCTCCTGAAATTCTGAAACATCTTTACGTATGAAGATTCTGAAATTATGGAGTATCTTCATTAGTAATGAGGCTTCAGAATTTCAGAAACATAATTTAGAATTTATCATCCAGATAAGCTTCATCGATACGGATAATTCATTGGCTTAATAATACATAGCAGAAATCAGTTAAAAGACATACCAACATCTCATAAATGGCGTCCACAATACTGTACATCTCTTCCCTAGTGATGTATCCGTCGTTGTCGACGTCGTATAACTTGAAGGCCCCTGAAATATTTTTATTTATTGGATTTGACAAGATCTATACAGATTTCATTAGGTAATTTATGGTAAATATCGTAATAAAGTATCGCTGAGAAAAGTATATTTACAACGATCTGAGTAAAATTCATTAAAATAATTTACATAAATTCTCTATTTATAGTGGCGGTTTTAAGTTTTGTGAGATCTTAAGCAAGTGTAGAATTACGAGGTTCCTTTCATACAAGTTTACATTATTTAAAGTTCTTTGATATTGTATAAAGTGTCAGATCCTTGTTGATACCCAAGCCTAAGCATAAACCTCTGCTTGTCTGATGGCCTTAAAAGTTCGAGGTTTTTAGACAAAAGCTCAGTTTGCTCGTGCTTAAGCAAACAGATAACTAAATCAGTGAGAGAAAAATTATTTTAAATATGATAAATAAAATAAGTTACCATTTTAAATGAACACGGAATATTTTTATAGTCAAGTAAAAGGCATCGATGTCGTAAATCATGTGGATTATATTAGGAAATCATATGAATACTTCTTAAAAGATTTCTTTATTTTATATTTAATAAGTGCAAGATCGCAACAAATTAAGTGAGAAATATAAGTGATGAGGCAAAAATAATAAATTTTTTCACTTTTATAAACAATTAATTTATAATTTATATACTTCTTAAATGCTTGTGAGAAAATTGCAGGATAAGAAGGGTACAAAGCCCAGGGCATATACTATTCTGCTGCATAGAGTGCAATATTATTAGATTTCAAACAGGTCTTCCTGCTCAATACACTCTTATTGTCTCCAATCCACCAAGAAAAACAAGGTGTATTAAACCGTGTTTTTCTTTTTATTGCAATTCAATAGGTAAGAAATTTCCAGGAAATGTTTTCTTTCTTACTTATACCGAATAAATAACTATGGCCACTAAGAGGACCTATTTATTTGTACAATATTATTAAGGTATTTTATTTTTTGCAATTATTTTCTCTTTATAGTCAGAATTAGATAGCTCATTATAATGTCGACCAGTTTGACGCACGAAATTTACAGATTTCATTGATTTGTTAGTTCTTTGGAAGAATCGTAATAACAGAGAAACACATTTTGAATAATAATACCGTGAATAAAAGTTTGTAGTGTTGAACCAAAAGTGTATTAATATTGACCGTAACTCTTGCAACAATAAAAATATATGTCCAAGGACTTTGTACGGTTACAACTGCTCCGACATTTGGCCTACTGGACAAATTTTATGGGATAGAAATCCTCTATGTAAACTCTGAATGGGAGCCACAAAGAAAAATCTAATGTCAAATTCTTTGGATATAGTGTAGTTTCTTTTGTTTATCTCGAAACATAAGTTTATGGATTTATATCCTTCTTGAACCGGTCTCTTAAAATATAATTATAACATAATTTATATAATTATAATAAATAAGTCAATTTAATTTACGATAATTTAAATTTCTTGACGACTAATCTTTCCTAATTTGAGTATAGAAAAACTAAGAACAGCTTTTTCTAAAAGTCCATCACAGTAAGTACAAGTGATGGAAGGTATCACTGTTAGTCTACGGCTCCGAAAGTAGATAAACTTGGCTCTTGTAAGATTTGGAAGATAACAGAAAACTTTTTAGTCTAGTCAAGTTGAGAAAAAATTTCCAGGATAGGTACGAGCTGCCCACTGTGTGCAACCCCCCTAATTTAGAGGATGCGACACAAAAGTTTTTGCTTACTTTTATGAGATAATAAAAATTTATTATTGATTTTATTCATATATTTTTTAATGGTTTTCGGAGAAAAGTAGAGGCCATGACCTCTTTTCTCTACCAGTCACGAATGTGAGGCCCTACCGTAGGGCCCCACGTTTGAGACTAGTTCGTGCCCCATTTCATCTCTCTCAGCACCTGATAATTTTTAGACGTAAAATAAATTCGTGGTTTTTGGGTTATTTGCCACATTTAAACAGGTTTGGATTTAAGTTTATAAATGGGAAATTTATATATTTTGCCTTCTGAATATTAATTTTCTTAATAATACTGATTAATAAGATCCTAGAAAAAATTTTGTACATGTGCCATGGTCATATGACAAAACTTTTTCCGTTTAGACAGGTTTCCGCTTTATTCAGGTTCTGTTTTTCTCAAAATGGGGATGGTCAGAAAATACACGAAGCGTTATCGGATCATCGAGCCAATCACCGTAAAATCATCATTAAAATAAAAAAGAAAAACATCAAAATTACAAGAAGCTACAAAACAATCACCACAAGAAGCCATCTTCATGGCTTGTAATGATTTTACATCTTGTATTGTACAGCTTCTTGATGAAGGATTCTTTTTATAAATATGCGTTAATATATACAATTATAACTGCGAATTAAAGGGTATTAAAGATAAATTATTTTTTGTATAGATGATAATTTAAACATGTTTATAATTTGTATGAAAACCTGCAAGGACACAATATATGAATGAATAAATATTTCTTTAATGAAAATTTAACATTCTAAGCATAAAATTCTTCATGAAAATGAATTTAAAAACGAGATAGGACCAAAAAAAACTTTTTAATATTAAAGAATATATCCGCTGATAACGCTTAAAAATTGTAAATGAATATAAATTTGCATATTTTTTGCATGGTTTAGTGGAGGTTTTCGGGTTTTTTCCACCTGTCCAACACTTAAATATGGACCAGTTTCTCGCATAAAAGTCCTTCCTCGTGGCACCACCCCTTAACAGATCGTACATTGTGTTGCCTTCTTTCATCACTGTTCCACTCCAGAAATACTGGTATTATCAGCACTAACTAAGTAAGGCGTGCAACGTTTGTACAGTAATGCACAATCGTAAAAAAATTTACACGTATATTACACTAATAACTGTATAATTTTACAAATTCTGAACAAATTACATGCAGTAGTTTTCAAGTAAAAAAATCCGAAAAGTAGAGAAGCAGTGTATGGTAACCAGTAAGGTGTAATCAAAATGAGGAGTTTAAGGTTTATCAAGTAAAGCATAAAAAATTCGTATATATATTACAGAAGATGCTGTATAACTTTACAAAATTTTATTGAATTAGGTTCAGTAGTTTTTAAGAAAAAAATTCCTGAAATTTCGAGAGCGTTGTCTGTAGCGTTAACATTACATCTCGCTTTACGACTCCAACTTGTATGACAGGTATAAATTTTCTATTAAAAATGTATAAAATTCAGTATTTAAGTAATGTATTTTTAGTTAATCATCTCATCGTGCGGTATTATAAATTGGAAATTATTTTTTAAACGTAACTTTGAGTTATGCCACTGAACAACGGAAAGTAGAAAGGCTCGCTTTACGACGGGTTTCCAAAACCTAATTACAAGCAACAAGTACTTTTCAAAATAATGAAATTTAATATTTAATACTTAAAATACACTTTCAAAAATTGTAAAAACGTTCGTAAATAATGATTAAATCCGAAGCAATAATTTAAATATATTTTATTTGTTCATTTTTCTAAAATTAAATAAATTTCACCTTATTTTAGGTTACATTTTTCACTTATAAATTACCTTATTGTCTATATGATTAATATTATAACAACAAAAGAATTTATTGCATTATTCTTTAAACTTANTTTTAAATCAATAAAATGTGGTAGTAATCATCTGATTCGATAAAGATTAAAAAGTGACAAGATGTTTTTTGAGGAATTGTAAACATGGTCTGCCATAATCATAATTTCTTAATATAAATCGCATAGTCACGTATTCTTATATATACAAGGAGGCCCAAAAGTCAGTTAATCGATATATAAAATAAATAAATAAAACATTTCTTGTAAAAATTTGAATGAAAATGAAAAAAGTCCAGGAAATAAAATAAGTTCTTAAAAATTGAAGACATAAAATAAATAAATAAATGCTGAAATGAATGCTAAATAAATCCTTTAAAAACACAGGAACAGAATTACAATTAAATGAATGATAATCGTGTTCCTGTGATCGAAAAGGACTTGTAAGGATTAATGGCCTTGAACGACATTAAATTAATGCTATGTTTCTGTGGTTTTCAAGATTTTGTAAGGAAACTTAAAATTTATTTAAAAAAACATTAATTTAATGGTAATTACGCTTCTGTGATAATAAATAAATAAATTGTAATTGTGTACCTATAGTTGTGAAGGATGTTCTTTTCTAAGAAAGCATGAGTTCATTTGTATTTGGTCTTCAATTATAAAAGTTTTGCTAAAATAATTCATTATCTTCTTTTTTATTTTCTGACATTTTTTATTGATTTTGCTAGAACATAATCTTTTATCTTCATTTATCATATAACTAAAAGACCTTTATATAAAACTCAATAACAATAAATAAATCAAACAATCAAGCAATTTTAACATTAAAATATGGAAAATATTTTATTCTGTAGACAGAAATCCGATAATTCGATTTTTTTCAAGATAATTTACAAAGAAGCTTCGAGATAACTTAAAATAAAAAATATTTTTTCGATTTTCTTTGGAGAGGCATTTGATAAGATTTCTCTTGTAAATCTATAAAGTCCTTATCAAACAGTCTCTTTTCAACAGATAAATAAACTGATTATTATTTTATCTTAAATTAAATTTTATTCGTTTAATCTTAAAGGAATTTCTCAAATTATTATTGATCTTTAAAGAATTTCATTAGATAAAACACATTAATTCAAATTCTCACCTTGTTTTCATCGAAAACACGAAAGACCAAGGAGGCAAATTTGGAAGGATCACCTTGAGGGAAGAACTGTTTGTAGATCCTTTGGAAACCCTAAACAAAGACAAATGCGGGTAACCTACAGCAGGAATTTAATAAAATATACAATTTTAAAATCGTACCTGTTCTGTAAGAAGACCATTTGGGCAATCTTTCAAGAATCCTTTGTACCTGCAACAATACAAATTCACCATTTTCATCGACATTAATCATATCAATTCGAATCAAAGCTAAGACATCGAAGAAAAAGACTATAACAAATTGTCAGGACCCAATTAAGAATATTTCTGACCATCTCCAGAGAAAGAATTCAAAATTTTATTTGTTATATAGGCCTATATTAGTGGATCCTCTTGGAGAAGTTGCAAATGTTACAATCTTTACATTGTTCACTATACACTAAAATTTTCATTATTTATAGTGAATTCACAAATTGGTTTACATATAATTGTCTAGATTGCTTAGGTTTTGCCTAGATCCAAATCCAGTTCTACAAAATATTTATATTTACACAGGAAACGTTTGCACAAAAAAAAATTAAAAGAATGATTATTATTAATTTTTTAATCAGTAAAATGAAAGTTACACGAAGTAAAATAAATTACAATTGAAATGAAATATTATTATTATTAATATTTATTTATTTTTCATTAAAAAATAATTATTTTCTATTTGAACTTTTAAGCTATTGATATAATTTTATTCTATGTTTCATTTTTTATAAAAATAAAATTTAAAATACTTCAGAATGTGAATATATTATAAAAATTAAAAAATAAAAACTAGAAGACATTTAAAAAAACATTTTGATGTCTTCAACACGTCCATTTCAACCGTGGTAACACAATTGACATTTCTTTACTGGCGCTTCTCCGTCTACTCATATGTAAATTGTTTAAAAGTCCCTCCAGCATCGGATACTTGCGAAGATTTTCGTTGTAAAAATAAAATTTGAAAATTTCAGGGCGAGAATATATTGTAAAAATTAGGAGAACAAAGACCAATTCTACTAAACGACGATTGAACATGTTGAAGATTAAAATGTTTTCGTTTTATTCTTCATGTTTTTATATTTACAAAATAAAATTTATAAAGAAATATGACAAGAAATATATTATTACTATTTTAATGCTTTACTTAACACAATTGATGTTTCAAGAGAAATTCAAATATATTTTTACTGAATAATCATTATGTCTTCCAAGAACACGAACAAATTTTAGTTAAGAATTTATTTACTTCATTAGAATATCAATATTAGTTTTTAAAATATGATTATTTTAAAGAAATATAATTAAATATATAATAAATTTTATATGAATATATATTCAGTATAGTATTATTGGTTGTTAAATATCCAATTTTCAAATTGCATTGGTGCTTAAATGCCGAGGGACACAAATGCATTGATTACTTTCATTTCTTGTTTAATTATAGTGATTGTCTCGTTAATTAGGTTACTTTTAAATGTTAAATCAAAAATTTTATTAAGTTTAAATATAAAATTTCATATATTTTCAAGTTTTTGACGAGGAAGCTTAAAAAAAATGTTTTAGTACAGTAGACATGATAGAATTTGATGCAGATAAACCTAACCAGCCGAGTTGTACGATGTAGAGTATTCCAATCCAATGGAAGATAGTTGTTTTTGATATACACAAAATTCTCAAGCCAATTTATAAAATCTCAAAATCACATTGCCCGTGACTTCGTTCTACAATGGATAGAACTATGCTTTATATTTTTTAATACATTCTTTTGTTTGACTATAGAGTTTTATATTTTCCTCCTCGGTGGGCTTTCTTTCATACAAGCTAAACAAGGCACAAACAGGTGAGAGTATTGAAAAAGTGTTTGTGCCTTGTTTAGCCTGTATGAAAGAAAGCCCACCGAGGAGGAAAATATTGTAATTTCTGAAATGCATCTGAATAAAATAAAGTTGTTGTTTGGCTAGTATTTTTGGAGTCTGTAGGTATATAACGGTGTTTGAACCGGTTACATATTGAAATCCTACCTAATATTTTCGACATTTATTGCCTAGTTTTCGAATACAAACACTTTTATTTATACAATTTTTGTGATAACCCAGGATGTATTTTCTTCATACTTTTTGTAAATAGTCTAAACTTCAATTATGAAGAAAATACATCCTGAGTTATCACAAAAATTGTAACTATATGCAAATAACGTAGATACTCGTAACTATCACTAGAGGGCCAAAAGCAGTTTAAAAAGTGGATAAAAATAATATGGTGTGAAGAATTCTTTTGTGTTTTTAATTGTCAGAAGCTACAAGAAAAGGTTGACACTTGATCTTTTTTAACATCGTGAAGTTTTCTACCAATTTTTATCTTTGTTTAAGAAGTATTCTTCAAAGCAATTTTAAAACTGTTACTTCTATGGTGGTGTATAAGGGATAAAGATAGACTCGAAAAGTTATTTTTGACTTTTTGTAAATAGTCCAAACTTTAATTATGAACTTTTATTTATATACAATTCAATTTGTAACCTGCATGTCCTTCATGCAACTTGATGAATGAGCAGCAAATTGTTTCATGAAGTTTCAATACATTTTGTTTCCATCCTGAACCAAATATTTTTCAAAATTTTTGAAAATCCAAATTTTATATCATGAAGTAATTTTCCATACTTCGCTTCAGATTGAAAAAAATTATTCGAATTTTCTTACCTAATGTACGGCCACTGGTAATTATGATAAATTCAATATTTTTCATTGTTTACATGTATAATTATATAACGCTTCTGTAAAGTATTTTCATTGTAGTTGGGAACTTCTAAATATTGAGTGAACTTTAATTTGTTAATACTGTAATTAGCAGTAATAAGAAGTATTGTTTTGTTCTATTAATTCATGGCAATTCATTTCTCATTCAGTTCAGTCTCAAAATCTTAAAAATTCATAATCATTCTCAATCTCAAGAATTCATGCTTGTTGTTAACGAACATGGTAAAGGATTATGCCCATTACGAACAGGATCAGATGGACATACGGTAATTATGGCTGGCTGTATAAGCTACAATGTGGTACTGTCAGTTAAAATTTTGTGAAAAATCCCATATAAGATTTTTACAAGACAATAAAAGTACTGTAGAAAACATTAATTGATAATTAAATGACAATATAAATTAATTTCATTTTATATTACGAATCCCATAAAAATTCTAATCGAATCGAAGAAATGTAATAATAAATTTATATTGATTTTTATCTAAAATTTCTATTAATTTTATTTAATGTTAATACACCATAATCCATTAGAACGAAGTAAAATTATTACAATTTTTAGATTTTATTTCAATGAATTAAGATAATACAATAATAATTGTCAAAAACTACTTTTAAAAATTCAAAATTATTGTATGAAATCTTTAGTATATTTATTCTATGTAATTGTCTGCACGTAATACCCGAAAAAATACAGATAAAAATAAATATTCTTCAAGCCTGAGAGGTTGTTATCCATAATAAATACTGCAGAAAGGATAATCAGATTAGAGAGATATCTTATGATCTTTCTTTTGTTGAATTATTTCTAGTAGTCCCAAAGAGAATATTAGATTGCTGTAATAGAATCTCTATAGTCAGCGTTGTGCAATATCAATCATAATACTGATTAAATACTTTTATATACTGACAAAGACAGTTTTTAAGATCAAATGTAAGTAATCTGTCACAGTATTTACATGAAACAATCCATTTAAATTCAATTCATGAAAGCATGCATTATAAGAAATCAATGGTTAAAGTTTGATAAAAATTACTGTAATTAATGAATATTACTGTTATGAAACTTTTCAAATGAGCAATTTTACTTAATATAATTAAATTATTTATTCATATTTCATCAATTATTTTAATTAATATCGTAATTTACAGTTAGATTATTGGAATTAAATCTTTATTAAATATGATATCTGCTTAAGTCATATTTCAAAATTGCTGTATAATTAATTAGAAAAATAAATTTCAGTTGATGAAAATTGAAAATAATTCCTCGAAATTTAATATTTTAAATGTGAAATACTTAAAATTTAATATACATTACTCAATATTTCAATATATTTTTGTAAAAGTAATTTATATTTTTGATCGAAATACAATATTTAAACAAATAATTTTCCATTAAAAATGTTCCTGTTTTTAATATAGAAATAATTAAAAAAAATTATAATCAGTAACAGTTTTAGGCATAGGCAAAGTAAAGATTTTGTATAAGGCCTCAGACACGCAAGTACCGTATATGCTTATCGATCAGGACCGGATTCAGACTTATTGTTGCTCTAAGTTTTAACGAGACCCTTATCCCTGCACTAAATAGAGTAAATACACGAGGCCTTAAATTCTAGCTTGTTTATCTTATGTCCAACCGTGTGAAACAAGCTTTACATTACATAAAACTATACAAACGGGCCTCTCAAGTCCATTTGTAGTGTTTCGTATAATATAAAATAAACATCAACAATGATTTACGCAAATAAATAAAATTAAAACCTAATAACGACAGAAAGAAAAAAACATTAAATTTTATTAAAATTTACATGCTTAAAATTAAATTCATGAATTTAATTCATTTACAGATACAATTAATAACAAACATTTACAGATTAAATGAATTTAATTAATTATATTATTTAATAAATTTAGGAAACTAATATTCTATTAAAATTTAGCTTAAGGGTATTAAAGTCTTGCTTCTATTTAGCTTGTAAATTAATATATCCTATAATATACAAGTTCAATCGTTAGAATTATTTTTTTTTTACTACAGAAATAATCAATTTAATGAAATAAATTGACAAAAATGTATATAGTTTTTCATACAAAATTCATAATATTTTCTATATATTTGAGAATAATACACATTTTATAATATATTATTTATAAGAATAGGAAAAAAAGTATAAATTATTCAAAAATTTTTATCGATTCGAAGTGTTTCTGGTAAAATTGGATAAATTCCGAAACATCTTTTACTATATAAAAGCATTTCACAGCTTATCAGTTTCTTCCTTTAATATAAAATGATATTATTAATGAAAACGCTTTATGTAATTCATAATTCACTAAATATTTGTAAACTAATTCTACAGCAATTTTATGTAATTTGACTTTTACATTTTTGTATAGAAATTTTTCAAAAGATATACAA